CCCCAAAACCCCAAAACCCCAGATGCATAAAAAATAAAATATGAGAAAATATGATTTTTAAAAAAATCAAATCTATATTTTAAATCATTAAAAATGACATCAAGTCTTTCAGCTATATTTAGTTAAAGAAACAAAAAGAGCAGAGACTTTACTGAAACGTTTTATACTAAGGTCTCAAAATTTGTTTCTGTAGCCGATACTCCTTCTAACAATAAAACAGAATTAAGCTGAAACTCCTCAATACAGAGGATAAAATTTCCCCACATTAGATCTGTTTCTGGATCTCATTAAAAAAATTCAATTGATCATGGAGTGAGATCACCAATGAAAATAGAAAGCTTTAAAGCCCTAAACCAAACTATTAAAGAAGTAACAATGGAGCATTTTTATGATGCGAGGACTATGTAGAATCCAAAATTAGACAGTATATCACTAATTTCAACTCCAAATAAGAAAGAAAAAACTTTAAATGTAGTTTGCTTTTGCAACTAAAACAAACATTCAAAGTGCATTCATTCATTTTCTGCAGATACTGTTTTGGTTTCAAATTTAATTAAGGTATTTCACTCTATTTTGATTACTTGGTAACTATAGGATTAGATAAATGAGTGCTTGAATATTTTAGATGAAACCAAGAATGAGAATGAATTTTTGATTGATGGAATTGAAAAATATGACTATTCTAGGTCAGATAATTTTGTTTTGAAATTGACTGATATAATTCAAAAGTAAAATGATGAGATACAAAAACTCCGCAAAAAGCTACAGAGTAAGTATCATGCTTATTAAATACTGTGATGTTTAACTTATTTTTAGATTAGAAAAGATTAATGGAAGAAAACCGAAGTCTGAAGGAGAAATTACAAATACTTGAATAGGTTAATTTACAAGTAATGGACAACTAAGAATAGCTAAATTATGAAAAAGATTATCTTAATGATGCTAACTTACAAGAGTCATTCAGAAATAAGAAACTACAAATATAGATCAAAGATGATAGTCTAAAAATATAAAAGTTAAAGTAAAACTTACATGAAAAAGATCTTAAATACGAAAATCTTTTGAAAACCCTAGAGTTTTTCTAAAATTAAGTAGTAGAAATGAAGAGAGAAGAATTGCGTTTGAAATTTGGGGCTGACTATGTGGAGGAGATGAATATGAAATATGACCAGCAGTTGCTGGAATAAATAAAAAAGATTAGAAAAGATTAGATTATCAAAGAAATATAGCAAATATCTCTTAGTAAGATAGTACTTTAGACTTAATTACAAACTATACTGATGAGAGAGAATATGATATTAGAAAAATATGGAAAATAGATTATGGAAAATTTATAAAATAAAGATATACAGACAGTTGAAATTGAAAAAAAATAAGATTAGAATTATTGATTAAGAAAATTCTTATTACTTTTATCTCTTATCATATATAATCATGCTGGGGTTTTGGGGTTTTGGGG